TGAATTGAGCAGTGGTGTGGAAGATAGATTTGAGGCTGGAGACCTGAGGTGGGGAACCAACTAGATAGTGATTGCAAAAACTGAAAACTACTGAAGAATCTATGGTAGGAGACATATCTACTATTTAATTAAAGTTAAATAAATTATATTGTAATTCAAATAACAGAATATCATATGGGTGTTAAAAAGAATGAGAACCATTTTGGACATGTTTAAGATATATTGTTATGTAAAAAAGAACAAGTTGCAGGACAATTTGTATACTATAATCTCATTTTGAAGAAAATAAACAAAAGGTATTCCCCTGCAGTCATGAACACTTAAATGTACAGAGAAAGTATCTAGCACACTGGAAAACTATTCATAGAGGTTATCTCTGAGGATGGAGGGGAGAGGTAGGCTTTTGCGATTTATCTTTATATCTTATGCACTGTTGGGTTTTGATTAAGGTATAACTAAGGCTTTTGTAGCGAGACTTGGAGGCAATTCTCCAATTAGGATATTATTTTCACAAGAGTGTTGTGGTTTTTTGCTGTTGGAAAATTGGGGAGGGGGTAGATAGATAGGATGATACTGGAGGCGGTGTCCACTTTCCAGTGAGAAGTCCTGCAGAGTGAAGATGTGCTGGCTGGACCTGGAAAGATGGAATAAGGGCCTAAGCAGACTCTGGTTCTAAATGGGGGATGTGAGGATTACAGTGAACCCTGAATGTGAGAACAGGATTACAGTGAACCCTGAAGCACTGTGTAGTGTAGAGTGGGCTCATTTAATTAAGGTGACTGACCTCCATGGTGGTGAACCTAGCCAGGGGACAAGTAACCAAAGCCAGAGAGCCCTGACTTTGGGGGAACAAAGGCGAGGACAGGAAGAAGATCGACCTTTAGGACCCCACGGATTCCTTGGCTGTTTCACCATTCTTTTGAGTACAGACCGTTCTGGCGCAGCAGGAGGGGCCAAAGCCAGAGCCGGCAGGCTGGAGGAGGTCTGCCTTCCACGGGCGTTCTAGTGTTGTAGACCAGGTCTCCACCCTCCTCCTGCTAGCTCTCGTGGGCAGACAGCCAGGACCTGGGGTGAAAGGCCAGGGCTTCTGGCCTTTTTCAGAGGCAAAGCCCCTTCCCAGGACCCAGAGCAAAGGAAGCCAGAACAATGCTGCTCGCCAGAGAGTGGGGGAGCAGGAGCTCAATAGGGGCAGGAGAAGTTTCTTGGCTCTGCTAACCAGTAAAAGCCAGGAGAAGGTCAAAGATGAGGAATGTTCTGTGATTTCTAAGACAGCAGCTCATTTATCTCATAAACACTGGCTCTAAGTCCAGTGGCAATGCTGCCCCCACGCAAGCTGGATAAGACCCTCCTCAGGGGGACTGTGTTTGGAGAATTGCCTCCAAGTCTCTACAAAAGCCTTAGAAAGGAGGGAGGGAACACCCACCATGTGCCATGGAGCACTTCCAAAGTTGCCTGTTTAGTCTGTACTACAACTTTTAAAGGAGGTACTCTTTTACAAAGCAGGAAACTGAGGCTGAGGGGGCTGGAGCCTTGCCCCTGACCACCTGGTTAGTAAGTGTTAAAACTGGGATTCGAACCTGGGTGTGCCTATATCTTGGTTATAATTTGGTTGCTTGGAGCACAGAACACATTTTCCCATCAAAATAATACTGTAAGTGGTGGTTTGGTTGCCATAATGGCCTAGTTCACCCAGGGTATAGCCGGAATTTAATTCTATGTTTCAATGTGGTGTGGATGAATCAGGCTTCTGCGGGCTAGCCTGGAAACCCACAGAAGAGGGAAAATGCATCTGAGGGTGTGCCCAGCTGAGAACTCTTGCCCCTACTACAGCTTACAGGGAAGCTGGCACGCTAGTAGCCCAGAGAGGAGCACTCACATATTTCCAGAGCTCTGCCCTGGTGTGTTCTAGCTGTGACAGTGTAGGATTTACTGGTTTGGGGTTTGTGAGGCAGGGAGTGCTACCTGAGAATTTTCAGACTCACATAC